TTTTTTTTTCTAAGAAATGACTCTTTTGAAAGAGACTTTTGTAGCATTTTCGTAGTTACACGAATGTCGACGTGATTGTTTCACCTTACGAATCTGACGCGCAGCTGGCGTTTCTTGTGAACGAGCATCTCGCTGATGTGGTGATAACAGAAGATTCTGATCTAATTGCATTCGCTTGTGAAAAAGTAAGTTTGTTTGGTGGCGGTAATGATCTTTAAGTTTAGGAGTAATACAGGCGTTGACTAACTTTTAGATTCCCGACATCAATAAATCCTCATACGCTTAGTTTCATTATTTGTAGGACTTTCTTACTCTGTTCTTAATAATCTTTGATGTCTGCTGGTGGTACCTTTTCTTTCTGGATTCTTGAAGAAACTACAGCAACCATGCTTCAGATAGCTTTCAAATGGAGCTGTGAACGAGGAGATTGCTTGATTTACGAGAAAAGCCAGTTGCCGCGATGTTTCACGGGTGTGATGGGGTCAAATTTTGACTTCACGAAATTTCGACGGATATGCATTTTAGCAGGATGTGATTATCTTCAGGTAGTGATACTTTTCGTATTCATTTGCGCTGGCAGTGTCGAGTAATGCCTTGTCAATGCTAATCATCGTTCTGAAGTATGTTTTAGGCTGGGTTACCGGGTATAGGTCTTAACAAAGCTCTTTCGTTTTTCTCGAAAACCTCAAGAACAGATCTTCGCAAGGTACATCATTTGTGTACTGTAAACTTGAATTCCATGTATGACACCCTCCTTGCAGTTGCTACCTCGAATTCCTCAGTACCTCAACATGTCTAAGTTAACCGTCTCAAAAGAATTCGTTGAAGAGTTTATTCGTGCCGAAAATACATTCCTTCATCAGGTATGTCTTTCTAATATATAATAAGACCCTATCAATTTATCTTAATGCCTTGACTCATTTCTGTTTTGAAGCTTCGTCGCCCGAATTTTTTTCAAAATTGTTCCTGGTCTCGTCCTCCTTGCATGTAGCTCAAGTTTTTTGACTGATTTTGGAGTTTTGCTCAACATTTTCTAATTTTTCTTCTAGTAATCCAGTTGAATACCTGGCCTGAACTTGATTCTGCCACGGTACTCGCAAACAACTGGTCAGCGGTCACACTTCTCCTAACTCTTGTTCGTTGAACTACTTTCAAAATTGGATG